GATCTGATTTTGGTCGGTCAATTGTACATGTTGCTTGCAATGGTGTCATCCCCTATAGATCTGATTTTGGTCGGTCAATTGTACATGTTGCTTGCAATGGTGTCATCCCCTATAGATCTGATTTTGGTCGGTCAATTGTACATGTTGCTTGCAATGGTGTCATCCCCTATAGATCTGATTTTGGTCGGTCAATTGTACATGTTGCTTGCAATGGTGTCATCCCCTATAGATCTGATTTTGGTCGGTCAATTGTACATGTTGCTTGCAATGGTGTCATCCCCTATAGATCTGATTTTGGTAGGTCAATTGTACATGTTCCTTGCAATGGTTTCAACCCCTATAGATCTGATTCTGCCTTAAGCACCAATAATATACTGTGGCCAAAGAACCTAAATACTTTTTCTTTTATAAATCCTTGCCAGTTAAGAAATATTTATGGGTATGGGGTTGAGAACTGTGTCAATTGACTAGATGCGAATAGAAACAATCTTGATTTGCGTCATTAAATATTCAAAATCCAGTCAAAGTGATGTCATATTTGAAATCTACATGTAAAACTACGTCTAGAAATATGGTTTCGAAAATTGTTTATTAACTTTGAAAATTTAATTTTTTTTGAAAATGTGACTTCTAGCTCGGGTTGATTCCTCATAGACCCCATGTTAAAAAATCACAAAAAGTGAAATATCTTTTCTTGTATTGGACATATAACATTTTCTTTTACTGGACATATTTTAATTTGCATAACTATTAGATACATAAGGGTAATATAAAAATTGAACCACTAAAACAGATGTTATTTAAGTTAAAGGGAACTTTCTACTATACCCGCCATGTTATCTGACCCGAACGAGCCACCTGGTGGCGAAACTGGTAACTACCTACTCGCATCTGCGTTATTCTTCGATGCTCTGCCAGAAATCATTGAATTTCAGATTAACCCCCATCCCTTACTCCTAAATATAACCATTCATTTCTTGAAGTTAAAGTTAGATTTGTTTTATCAAAATCAATACAATACAAGTATTTGTAACTGACTTCAACACCCTCTCCCAAAAAATATTTCTTAATATGTTTGTGAACGACATTTGGTGTAGTGTTCTCATTTCCTATAGATGCGATATTATTCATTCTCCAAATGGTGTGTTTTCAAACAATTGATAATAAAGTGAATAAGACACAGTTGTATTTCAACCACTAACTGAAGAACATTGTAGTACATCATTGTTATCGTAAAGTAAATTAACAAAAATCTAATTATTTCTTAAAATCTTAATAGGTTGTGGGCATGTGTAGGAGAAAAGAGGAAATTGAATAAATTCAATAGAGTAAATACAGAAATGCTCTGAATGGTCAGAGAATTGCGAGAATTCAATTACGATCTACGGCCAAAATAAGGGTTAACATCAGTATTTAAATCAACTGTAATTCAGTACTAATTCTCTTCTTCTAACTTTAGACATGACAATGAGTAATTTTAAGTGTTAAGCTTTCGATAATATGATACCTCCAGAAAATCGATTCATTGATATTATTTCCACTTTGGGCAAGCAGCTAGGTTTAGAGGGTCGAATTCATGGGCTGTAAATTTTATACCTCAAGAATTGTAGCAGAAGGGGAATAACTTTTGTGTTTAAGATCAGAAAATCAATTTATACTTCATGCTTGTGGTCTATTATGACAAGCACAATACAATCTCATAAAAATCATATTAAATGATAATTAAATGATAATAAAACAATAAAACTATGTTAGTTTTTATTACAGAGATATCTAGGTCACTACAATCATTATTGTAATTGATCAATCTATTGAAAATGTAATATTATCAAAATGTTCAAGTATAAAAATAAATTCATACCTTAATTTTATTTCTTGATTCTGGATGCTGATCCCTCCAACATTCAAAAAGATTTGAGAAATTGTTGGCTAGTTTTTTTTTGTCGACATCTGCTACAGTTGGAATGTAACACCAAGTCCAATGTTTGTTCTTTGAAGGATTCCAGCCATTAGGAACAAGTCATTTCGACCACTTCATTAGATATAGTGTACATTGCTGTTATATCACTCAAGTTTGAACCAACAGCAGTTGGGTACATGGAGCTATATGACAATGACATCCAGACAAGTGCTGAAGTCATTAAAGTCTTGCATCGATGTACTGTATACCTAAACCATTCACATTCCTAATGAAAGTTTTAGTATAAAAATGAATCAAATTATAGGAAAAACATGGTTAAAAACACAGCATTCCATAAATAATGGAAAAAAGACACGCATCCTCCAAGACCAATTGTGACTCAATTGATTAAACAAGAAACATGTATCCACTGAACACAGTGAAATTAACAATATACAGTATATTTTGCAAAAGTTATCACATGTTTACCTTACAATCCTAATTTTATCATCCGACAGAGGAACTTAGGCAGAAACAACCAGATTCATAGAATTATTCAAAATAACTTTTTAAATCAAACTATGTCTACTGTAGTTTCATGTAATAGTCAGAACTTTTAGACTTTAGAAAATCAGTATGAAATGGAGAGTTCTGAGCAAATTATTGTAAACATATGACAAAGTTACTTACAACTTGTCTCTACTCTTTGATGCCCCTTTGAAGTCTTGGTTCATTGGTTATTCCAGTCATTGACTTGAGGAATCTCCAAGACGCGGATATAACTCATATAAATGGCTATAACTCACATAAGGGAGATGGCAATGACTTCGTTGAAGGCCATAAAATATACCTCACAATTTGTCTCTAACCATATCAATTTGATAAGCAATCACGTAAGTATACTTCCTAATAATCTTAACCAGGATATGTTCAAGATTCACGTTAGGACCTTTTCTCAACTGATTTAAACATCACTTTGTATTATTGAAAGTCATCGCAGTGGAGATATTTTGGGGCATTTGGAAAATAAATTATTACACGAAAGGCCAATGATTATGTAATTGTAACTGAGAGTTGATTTTGGGTCCTTTTCCACTATAGTAGACTGACTTTTTCACATCAGCCCTTAGCATAGGATTTGATCCAAAAGGAGTAGTATCAATATGGAGAACTTTTTGAACACATGTTTTTCTTAAACCAGTCATAAAAAAAATCTAAAAATTTTACACATCGTCATTGTTTCCTTCTCAAGAATTGATAGAAAGGAGCAAAAACAATTGCACTAAAAAAACAAAAAATGTTAACAAAAACAGTTATATAAAATATTTCTAAATAATTTTTGCAAGATTACATAAAATACCATGTTTTTTTACAGAATGTTTTCAATGATTGGTTTAAGATAAAAACATTGTTGAATTCAGTTCTCCATATCAATACCACTCCTTTCAAGTTTTCAATACTGAAGTATACGATGTACTTGTGCATAGCTGAGCTCGATCAAACGTGCTGTTTAAACAGCACTGTACTCAGCAAAGTTTGATAAAGATACAGTTTAGGAATGAACAATAGTTTAAAGAATGATGTTAAATCAATCAAACATATTTAAAGGGTACAGACTACCATGAGAAATTAATAGTTTTAATAAGATCATTTTTAATGCTAATAAATAATATAATACAGAGAAAATAGTTAGTTCTTTAAGTGCATTAAAACATTTATTATTCATTTATATCAAGGAAATTGAGTAATAGTCTTTGGCCGTAATGTTTACAAATACATGATTACACGGTTACTTTTCAATAAATCAAGCCTGGAAAATGTCTAAGATCAAGTTCTTTATGATATTCCGCATGAAATACTTGACTTTATTTTATTTAAGAGACAATTAAAATTTAGCCGTTCCGACTGATTTCCATTACCACTTATTAATAGCATAATTTTATGCTTGGTCATGTTATAAATCATAACATAATTGAGCTCTAAAGTTAGTTACAACTTCTTTTTGACAAGTGAGTGATGACATATTTCTTAGCATTCATAGGCCAAATATAAAGTTTTTGCACTTCTGGTAATAAATGAGGAAGTTTTGAGAGGGGTCGTAGAGTCCTCTTTATCAGTACTTATCGGCAACTTTTTAGGTACCATAAACATGCCATGGATGTCTCCAATTTATACAGTAAAAATAACAGTATAATATAAAAGATGTAATATATTGGTAAAGGAGTCAAGGGTTCATATACAAGTAGATGCTGGAATATGAGATCATGTACTGTATTAGGATGCATTGCAGATTACTGTTTTATTTATCTCCTAATCCTAACTAGACCAAAAACGAGGACTGCCCAAAAAGTATTGACATTTTTGCCCTTATTCCATCAAATTTTATTCTTTTGACATAGAATTCCAACTGAATGATCTATAATTTCTTCAATTTGTAAGGTTTCTCCATATTTTAACATCTGATCAATGTACAACATAGTATATTTGAGCTATAAACTTAAATAACATTTTGTAGTTATTGGTCTACTTATTAATATGCATACTAAACTTTTATTCCAATGGTCTAATTAAGATTGAAGCAAAACAGCAAAAATGCACATCTTAGCTTATACAAAAATGTCTTTTGTTGGGATTTCCTGCATTTGTGTCATTTCACTTGAGGCTACAAACGAATACTATTAAGAAATCATTATAATTCTTATAGCTTATCATACTGTGACTCGCACATGGAACAACTATCACCTAAAATAAAATGAGTTAAGATATGTAATCATGCAATTATGTTATAATAATTGTGAATGTATGTGTATAAAAGCAAGAATATTATCTTCATTGTAACACTACAATCATTAAAATCAATCTTTAAATTATTATACTGCGTGTCCATCAATTTACATGGTCACAAATATATCAGAAGCAGACCAAGTTTTTTGGAGGAAAGCTTATGCAATTTTTTTCAGTTTTCCAAGCAGAATTGTTTCATGTGTGACCCAATCCCAAAATAAAAAAAATTTCATCGATATTCATGCCTAAACTTGTTTTCTCAAATATTGATGGTCTCATTGGTCTGTCCCCTAGTGATCAGTTAACATCTACATACCACCTGGCTTTCCAATAGTGCATCTAGTAATTGTTTGAAGTTGCTGATCTCGCCAAATCTTTCCTGAAGATACACAAATGGATAAGAGATACATGTAAACTGTACAGGTACAGATGTATTCAGAACAAGGACCACTTACTGATAAATTAAAAGATTAGATAGTCTTTGCTTTCACAAAAGACAATATTTGGTGAATTTTTGGATGTTTCAAATACTCTAAATTCTCACAATATTCTCTTTATAGTTTACAAAGCCCATGAATCATGATGACCATATCTAACATCTTACCATAATATCAAAAATAGCTGAATTGAAATTTACCTGGTTACCCCAAAACTAATGATTTCCAGATCTTCACAAAGATTTTAATTCAAAATTTTAATTCATTCAAATCAATCCTTCAAGCAGTTTGTTTGGAAAAGTGAAGACAAGAAAAGTGAGAAGCTGCCACCCATCTTCTTTGCAAAGCTGACATCAACATTAAATGTACCTTTAGAAAGGTATATTTTAAAAACAATCACACATCTCATAGTGTTCTTTGTGTTATGGCTAAATACTTACCCAAAGCTCTATTTCCTTGTAGCCAAGGTAACCCTGTGATTCTACATCATCATGTATACGCTTAAACTCTTCCATATCAGTTGATGTGAAGTTTGATTTTATCTCGGGTTTTTCCAGAAATGATTTAAAAGTCACATTATGGTTATGAAGTCTTGTTACCCTCTTTAAGATCTCACGTGAGAATTTGGGATGTATATATGCTGAATCATTAGTATCCCTCTGCTCAGTTACACCACCTTCTTGATTTTCATTGGCTAAGATCTTAACATGTGTACGGCAAGATGAAATGACCAGATTTTCATTACATCCAATTTCTCTGTATTGTATATTCTTTATACATTCCATAAAGTTTGACTGCTGACGGTTCATCTGAGTTATGAATCTTGATGTGGTTCGTTGCGTCAAAACTGGAACGGGAGTCGTGCTCTGATTTAAACCAGATGGTAATCTCTCTATGGGTGAGTTCTCCTGTACGACAGTTGTCTTACAGATGTTATGGTTATGTCTTGGTGCTTGCATCATCATTCCCATATTCTTTATGTACTCCTCAACCTCATGGTTCCTCTCTGGCCATTCTGAATGAAGAAAGAATTTTATTAATTGAGCAACTGTGTAACATTTTAGATTATAAGCTCTTATTTGGGATGGGTAACATCCATGAGCCAAAAAGGTGACATACAAGGCCCGAAGTGTATGTATATCAGTCGTAAATAAGTGGATCTAGTATAATTCAATTTGATAGATAAACATACATTTTTCACTGCAGTATTTTATCTTAAGATTTTAATTCAGCTCTAACAAGTGATTATTCAGTATGCTTGGCATACATGTAGTTGTACACATCTCATCTCAAGACAACTCAAACATCCTTTATCGTGTACAGGGTATAGTAAATGTGTATTGTTTACTTACCAACATCATCTAAGTGTTCATCAACAGACATGTGTATAGGGTCCTTGGGGGCAGAGCCACTGAAGTAACCATGCTCCATACTCACTTAAAAACCATGAAATCATATAATAGGTCTTTTATCTATTACTATTTCTTTTCATATGTCTTTCATTTTTTATGTTAACTGCGAAATATAGCTTGTCTATACGATGTTCAGATTTTCTTTAATTTTCAATTTACCTAGTTCTTGAGCTCCCTCATGCCTCATGTGTACAGTTTCTGGTTGTTTCCTAACTATCTCTTCTATCTCTCCTGTTTTTTCTCTCTTGTCTCCTTCAACTTCTTCATCACCTTCATTCATCTTGTCCCCTTCAGTCTTTCCATTGTCCGCCTTCTTTCTGATTCCACCATCTTTCTTGTGCTTCTCTGTGGCTTCCGGGGATGGCACACCAGGGATGTTCTCTACAGCAATGATGTTCTCTGGGATCTCTATATGGAAGTTTAACTGAAAGATCACAATTAAAACTAGAAATCATCATTGATTCCACATCAAATCTTGATGTCTATTTGACATAGAATCAGTGAAGAAACAGGTTTGAACAAATCAGTCCTTTTGGCACCGTTCTGGCACTGAAATCCAGCACAGGAATGGCCTTGAATTAGTGTCGAAACGGTTTTGAATTCATTTCTTTTTCAATTTGGATGTGTACAGGATTTCAATGCTGATATCAAGTTAAGCTGTACCTTCCCCAAGCCTTGTAGGCCAATGATCAGTGCAGTATATCCTCCCTCATCAGTTCTGGACACTTCATAACCTTTAGCCTCTCCATCATCCCCAAGTTCACTCTTAATCAAGGTCTGGTTGCGGAGTGTTGAGAATAGCTCATCACTCTTCTTAAAGATCTCATGGTGATATTTGAATATGAATGAGTAGATGTACCTAGAAAGATGTTTTTATGATTTTAGAATCAGATCTATATGGGGTGGTAATGAAATGAATGTAGCTTTTCTCTGGAAAGTATATAGACATTATACTCCGAAACTACTAGCAAAGGTTTTATTATAAGATGATTTCTCCAGTTGATTTGATCAAAATTACCCGTCATTTTGATTACCTGTAATTTTCCATGTTAAAATTGTAATGTTCTACATAATGTTTTCCTTTGATTTGCCTCCTATGAGTTATTTTAATGGAATAGCCTAATAGGGTCAAAGCTGGTCAAGCTAAGAAAATAAATGTCCTCAAAGTTCTCTAAACCCACACTCACCTCTGTGCCAACTGATGAGTGCCTTTGACAAATATAGAATGCTGGCTTCTTCCCTGGTTGTAGTCCCTCTGCAAATAAACAACAAAAATAGGTAGACATAAAGTATATGATCATCATATTTTGGGAAATCTGAATGACTATTTGACTGTATACTCAAAAGGAGAGTATGTGGTCCGAGTAATATATATTCAAAAGTGGGATGTAACTGGAAAATGTTTCACTTCATATTTTATTTATCATAAAAATGTTTCACAGATCCATTACTGTACAAATTAACGAGTTTCATGTTTGAGTTCTATACAAATGTACCTTGAGGAAAAGCCCAACTGATCGAGACTAGATCTCAACATACCCTTTTTTTGACGATGATGCCATCTTTGACCATCTGGTAGAATGTTGTCTGAAGGGTATCTTCGCTGTAGCTTGAAAACACTTTATATAGCACCTGAGCACGTCCTACCTTGTCATTAGCAGCTGCAACACTCTAATAAAACAAGTAAAGTACAAAGGTACAATCAATTCATTTGGCATCAACAGATTAGAACTATGTCATGTTGTGTACATGTTCAAATCTACGTGTACATGTTCAAATCTACGTTCAAAAATATTTATCAACAAACTACTGATAGATGGATTGAGATCTAGTATCTAGCTACATGTACTATCTTAACTGTCATGAAGACCTGGTGCAATCATAAATATGTAGGTATAACATGACTTACATGGATAAAGTTGTGTATGACGGATATATGCACATCTGCGGGGCTAGTGACATCTGAGTGGGTGGACTTGAACTTGAGAGAGCCCACGGAGAATGTGAACTTCTTGTAGCAGGTCTCAATATCATCTGGCAGATCAAGCATTGAGGATCGCTCATCATGCTTTCTGGAATATATTCATTTTTCAAAATAATTATTTTATTTTTCACAAAATCAAGGATAGGAGCCAACAAGTATGATATCGCGTGAAATATTGTATGAGATAAGGCACGGCACACACATCATACAGGGGCCAAGTTGAAACATAAATGTTTTTCAAGTTTTTTCAATTGGAAGGACTAAGCCCTTTCGGCTTCCCCCATATTCAATGAATTTAAAAAGCATTAAAAAATTATATGTCATCCAAAATTTTAAAATAACAAAGCTGCACTTCCATCAATCAATCGATATATGACCAAACCTTTTCCCTAATATTAAAGTGTCTTATACTAGTCTATACTCACTTGAATTTTAATAGCAGACACTCTAGAAGTTGTTTGAAGACCTTCACATTGTATGCAATATTAGTCAGTTTGTAGACCTTACCAGTTTTGAACCTTCCAACAAGCTCCTAAAACAAATTAAACAAGGCATTAGCATGCAAAATGGTACCACCTGCCATTTGTTACAGACGCTGACCGCCAAACGCTAACTGTCAAACTCCAACCACCGAACACTGTCCATGAAAATATCGGAGACTATAACAATATGTCACTACTTCTGATGGTGTCTCAATTATTTACAGTGTATTTAAGAAAATATTCATACATTTATTTCCAATCATCTACTTGGATTGTAGCAGAGTATACACATTTTGCATATTGTAGACTGGTGGGTCAAGTACTCAAATACATTTATCATGTTTATGTTATGTTAAATCTGGACACAATGCTTCATAAAGTAATACTTTCATTTTTATAAGTTTCACTCTGTACCTTATCACAAAGACATTCGCTGAGGAAGGTTGCGACACTACTCTTGGTTTGCTCATTCTTCATCATATATGCAACACGTCGTATGCAAGTCTTCGTGGACTTGTCAGCTGACTCCTACAGGACAAACATGACATTCACAAAATATATATTGCTTACATATAGCTTTGATGTGATCATCACTTTTCTAGAATTTTTTAAAAATATTTATTAAAAATGAAAATATTTGTCTCGTATTCATATAATATTTAAATACATTCATTGAAAATTTAAATATATTTTCTCAATTAGGGTTTTTGATTGACTTGATTCCGATAAACCTCATGGTTGATATAAAGATCAGCGTTGGCAAATTGGTATTTCCCTGATGCAAAAGTTATGCAAAATTACATGTACGTCGAACAAACACTGCTTGTGTATTATACTAGATCTTTCCTCTCCAATACCCATGTTTTTGAGAGCTGGTGGAATAATCAACTCCATATATCAATAAGGTGAACTTACAGGCATGGCATCATGCATTGTGTCTCGCACTGTGGTCCAGGGTACAATCAGACCAGGTCGTTCTCCAACCATGAACAAAGATGCTACCTTACAGATCAGCAACTAAAAGAAAAATTTAATCATATAACACTAATCTCTTGAACTATTATTTTATTACTATAACTTATTTTTCTTAGAGAACACGTTCAATTATTTGTTGCCATGGTAACAGATATTAGCAGAAATGTGTTGGAACTCATAACATATTTGTATATGTTCACAGTGAAAATTTTAATTCAATGCAAACAGTGCCCACAAAAAAGTTGAAGACTAGAACAATATGTCACAACTTGGGGTGGTGAAACCCTGAACATGTGAAGATAATGAAACTGGCATTTCCATCAGTAATTCTTTGACAAAATAGTCCTATCAAATACTGCCAAAAACTACTTTCAAATAAAATAGACTTTGATTAAAACCTCTCAAATTAACTGATATTAGATGGTTAAAAATGTTTTGAAAGGTCATTTTGTCTATAACCGTGTACTAACTAAGAAAATTAAGCTAGAATTGATCAATTCCAGTCAATATTCTTGTCTTTAAATTGTCTTAAAGAGTGACCAGATCAGCTTGACCTTGGAGTTTTAACACAGGCCATCAATTTCACTCCCAAATATGGAAGGTGCAAAAATAGAACTGTCAATCAAATATTGAACTGTATGCAAGATAAAACTACACTAGAATTGATCGTAGATGGTGCTGCATCTTGAATTCCTTCACAGAGCCAGTTTTATAACAATCCTCAAAATAATTAGTATTCAATTAAAAACTTTAAACTTAAAGATTGAGTTGCTATAACATAGCCTTAATGAATGAGTTTTTATAGCTTTTTTAGCATGAAAAAATGACTTGAAAGTGCCTTGAGAAAATACTTGTTTTTTCATAGTGTATTGTACTTTTTACCTAAAATTAATAAAATTACTATTTAAATGACATGGAATTAAGCCTTGTATTAGGTATCGTTGGAAAGGATATTCAATTCCCAGTATTTTGAGCTTATTTATAACTATTGAGTCATTATTAATGAAGAAAACCATATTCAAAGAAAATAGGGGTTCATGACAAAATGTCACCACCTAGTTGCTCACAATATTATGAAACCAATCTTAAGTCAGATTTGAATTTCTGAGAACTTGTAGATGATTTTGAAAAAAAGAAATTGGTCAATTTGAAGCAAGTTGAAAAAAGACATTTTTTGACCCGGAGAATGTCATTGAAGGTGAAATCTTAAATCTAATAGTCTATAAAGTAAGATTTAAACTTCTGAGAACTTCTAAGATAGTTTTGGGAAGAAAACTAGTCAATTTGAAGCAAGTTAAAAGACCTTTTTGACCTTGAAAAGATCATTGAAGGTCAAATCCTTTTTGACCTTGAGAATGTCATTGATGGTCAAATCTATAGTCAGATTTGAACACTTTATCTTGTAAGGCTTACCAAACTATCCTCTCTTTCTGTCCAGTTAACCCTCTGTTTCTCCATACGTCCCATAGCCTCGACATCCTTCTGGTCATACAACAGATCTGACAACACAAACAATTCAAATGACATAATAGTAAAAAAGAAGGATGGAAGAAACTGGTCATGTTGGTTGATACAAAGCAAAGATAAATGTGTGCTTAGTAGAGGGTAGTTTTGCCTCAATATTTCAATTATGACAACAATCAATTTCCATACAGTATTTGAATTAAATGCCTTGATTTTGATATCAATTATGTTTCGATATGACATGACCATTTTATGGATTTTTTATGATAATTAATATTCAACATCATCGATCATATTTTTGAACTCACTTGAAATCTTTCCCTTTGGATACAAATGCTTGATTTGAAGTTTCCTTTTCTTTTTGACAGGCCCTGCAGATGTAGAGGTCTTTCGTTTACGCTTGGGTATTCCCTTACCTCCTTTCACTGGTGACTTTGTTGTCACTCTTGTCTTCAAATCTACAAGTGAAAACAATATATTCATTATTGAATGCCACATTTTACAATTTTACAATATTACAATTTTACAATATTTTCTCTTTTAAATTCATATTACAGTAGAAGCCTAAGATGATTATAACATATCAACGTTGATAAACAAAAACAGCCTCAAGAATCCAGCCTTTGGGCAGATATCATTTTGCTTGAGATAATCCTGATATCCTGAAGTTCCATAGAAGGTATTCCCTATTTATGTTAAAAAATGTTCAATGCCTTTGCCATTATAAAAACAAACAAACAAACAAACAAACAAACAAACAAACAAACAAACAAACAAACAAACAAACAAACAAACAGGTAGTTCAATTTTCTATTCAAACTTTATCTCAAAATTTTTTTAAATTACACGTCATTCCAAATGATGATATTTCCATAGATAACTGCTTGAACCATAATAATGTAGAGAAAAGTAAATACTTTTAATTTTGGCTGCCTGACTCTCCTTTTCCTTTTCAGCTCCATCTGCAGGTTTCTCTTTGCTGACTTTAACATGTTTGTCCTCCTCACATATCAGATCTAGAGTCTGGTTCTTTATTGCTCTTGGGAGTCTTCCCACCGTTTTATGCTGTGGAGCCTTTAATGCTGTCACCTCTTTCTGCCCATAAAACACACGATTGCCAGGGAGGACAGGCGCAAGGTTGAAGGTGCCCCATTTTCTCTGCATTTGACTGCAATATACAATTTCATGGGTTATTCAATATACAAACTGTTTATGTCTATGTTGGCTTGGTAGTCTAGAGCACTGAACACATTGGGCAAGGTGCTGTCACCGTAATCATGGGCTTGTGTGTTCGAGACGGGTAAACTCCTGATGTTTATTCATTTATGTTTGAGGAATCTCTCATTGTACTCCATTGTACTTCATTTTTCCATGATTTTCTAAATAAATACTGAAAATATGTCATTATCATCAAATACATCAACAAGGCATTAACACAGTAAATTTCACCACCTGCCATTTGTTGTTGAGGCCAACTGTCATTCACAAAAAGTTGGAGAATATAAAAATATGCCACATCAAGACTTCTTGTGGTGATAAAAAAATCAGCAAAAGCAGTCTAAATGTGATTCTGACAGGTGCCATTTTAGATATTCTTTTTTACATGAAGGTTAAGTTTCAATACAATTAACCGGCAAGGCGTTGTATGACACCATATGGAAAAGTGTAACAACAGTTACAGGCAGTGATGCTGATAGGTGTTTAATGCTTGTCACAAAAAATCATGACTATAGTATAACAATGTGTCAACACGCTTTCAGTGGTGACATATCAAAACACATTTTTCGAGACATTTACAAGTCACAAAATCAACCTACAGATGCAGGCCGCCATCAAAGCCTCCAGGTCCCCTCTTGTCCCCTGGTACGATGCCCTTATCTTCCACCATGTGAGGAGCCTTATTCTTCAGCAGATCAGTAAAGGGAGGAAGGGCCTTCTTGGATCTATGCCCATTCATCCAGTATAATTCTGTGTCTATGTCAGGGGGAGCATGGACGGCTTAAGTTAAAAAGAGATCACAATAAAACCTGACTCAATTGTTTTTATGGTCATAATATTCTTAAAGCTAAAGTTATAGCTCTTTGAAATCCTTGCAATATAGACTATAATATGTCACGTGTCTCTTTGTTTTTCAATATGATTAACAGAATACAATAGTTTACTGTATATACATGAGAAAATGATAAATATATGTTCTCACTATCACTATCAGATATTAAAGCAAAAAATGACTTTCAATTCAATGTCATCACAATTAGAGTTTAGATTACTATATCTTTAGTATATACCAGGTCGTTCAAAAAGTTCGGGGAAAATGCTCTCATTTTCAAGGTTTTAATATTTTGGTATACATCAGTTTTAATCAGTCTAAAAATAAATTTGAAAAACCTACTGAAACTGGTGTTGAGTGAGATGATCTTAAGATCAAGCCAGAAATTGGTGACGTCAGTTTCTTTCCTGAATCTGTATAGAAAGTGGTCCAGGTTGCCATTCTCCACTACCCCCTTGTCCAGGATGGTGTATTTAGATTCTAATGGGGTTGTGTCCACTATTGTAATACTTTTGTGAACATACAGAAACGTCTACAATATGGATATTTTATATTTCATTAATATTGCACAATAACATTATTCAACTAGATATACATTTAATGGTGTCTTCAAAGCTAAATAAAAGCCAGCTGTCAGCTTTTTATCTTGAAGTACAGGGTGTTCCATATGTTTCAGGAATGATGCTGTGTTTTATTGGTTTTCTATTCAATCTAACTGAATTTTTGACACAATGTGTCTAAACATGTTTTGAATAAGTTGGGAAAGTTTCATATCGTGAAATTCAGCAGTCTTAATTATATGGCTGCTATAGTAACCTAGGGGTAGGGTAGGTGGAGCAGGTGTAACAATGCATAAAATATATGAAATATTTGTAAAAATAGTTTTTTTGTACGAAGTGTGACTAAGTATTAGGTTGTTAGAGTTGGATCAAACTTGTGAAGGTGGATTCCAAGAAAGTAAAAAAATGTCATCACCCTTGATCACATCAAAATTTTAACACCTGTCATGTCATGAGTCACAAAGGAGAATAAACACAGGTCATTTTGGACAGGCGGCCATCTTGAAAAGTGAAAAAGTCATTAGCTTAGGAAAACTTTCGACTTAGGCAACACACAACAATCTGTGACAAGACATGACATGTGTGAATAACAGTTTTCTGCAGCAGACACAATTAAACTCCTAACGAATGCACATGGGGACTCAATGATGGTAATCTCTAGAGTGTATGAGTGGTACAAGCGGTTCAAATCTGGAAGGGAAACTGAGACTGATTATCCAAAATGTGGACATCCGAGAACAGTGATAGTGCTAACTAATGCGGAAGGGATAGATGCTGAAATAATGATGATGGCTAATAAAGGGTGTGATAACATTTTTAATTTCCAGGAATCCACCTTTATTCTTTTTAATTTCCAACAAGTTTGATGCCACAATGACAAATTAATACTTTGAACACTTTATACAAAAACTACTATTTTTACAAAAATGTCATGTTTTGCGCGTTGTTACACCTGCTCCACCTACCCTACCCCTAGGTTACTATAGCAACCATATTATTCAGTCTAGTGAGTTTCATGATATGAAACTTTTCCAACTTATTCACAACATATTTGGACACATTTTGTCAAAAAATCAGCTAGATTGAAAAGAAAACCAATAAAATACAGCATCATTCCTGAAACATATGGAACACCCTGTATGTAAGCAATGTATTTTTAAAACTGTGACGTAGAATGAAATGTTTTACTGATAAAAGATAGGCGATCATTATTATCTGCTATAGCCATGTGAATAATCCTTACATCATATTTCCAATTTATTTATTCAAAGCCCGTATTCAAACTTTTATTAATACGCACTGCAATTAATACTCACCCGATCCTTCTCATTCATGATTCTGGGGCCGAAAGAAAGTAGTCCCATCATACACAGATATTCACACATTTCATGGAATGCATGTATGTATTTCCTCGTGAATAAAAGCTGGACACTGACCTTCTCAGGAATCTGACCAATGAGAAGGAAGCGATCAGTGGGATGTTTCAGAAGCTCAGCCAAGCCTTCAACCTGTAAAAGAATTCAAAATTCAATGAAGTCATCTCTGAGATCAAACTAAACATACAAGATGCATACACTTTGCATGTGTAGTATAAAACTATTGAGACAAAAGAAATATTTCAAACAGCAGGAATGAAAACACACTACAATTGTTGATAATAATGATGATGTAATAATTAATCCAGAAGTATTGCAGAGACAATTAGCTTTGATTGAACCAACACATTTTCTTTATATTTTGTCCATTTTGTTTATTCAGTAGACCAGTAGGTCAAATATTTTTTATTATGAACATGAGAATCTAATACAATCATGTACATGTTCACTCTAAATCAGACTCAGTTTATGTCACTACTTGTCTGACTCACCTCATAATTGATGCTGATGATCTTGACAAACAGGCAAAGGGGCAAACTGAGAATTATATCAGACATGATACACCAGCCCTCTCCATGAACTAAAATAACAAATAAAACAGTTGTAAGCCTCAGTATAAAGCTATCTGAAAGAAAAATTGAAAGGAAACATGCCATGTCCAAAAATGTAGGGCCCATATACCGGAGATTCTACTAATAATTTCTACTATTATTGTACTATAGATACAAGAGATCTTTGTGATAACATCCACTTATTTTTCCCCAAGATTGTCAACTATTTAGAGAAACTATGCGACTGTTTTCATTCTAGAATTATAATTTGAAATAAATTGCATGTTATTTTCGTTTATTTTTCCAGTAATGATTCTATGCTAATGAGAATGCTAGAATCTGTATGTGATAAACTGAAGGAGCTTGCTCTCCAATAATAATATCAGTGGTTTATGTATCAATGATCTTTTATGGAGAAAGATAAATTATCAATTGACAATGTGTAATTTTTTTGCAGAAGTAATTTCATGTATGTTTTGGAGAGATTAGAATACATCTTTGGCTTGTACAAAAATAGATAAACGTGACTTCAGAGTTCAACAAATAATGAGAGGAGGTTAAAATTTCATCAAATTAGTTAAGTGAGCATACCAGAGATTGACTGAGGGGGTATGAATCTCTTCCATGTCAATTCATCCTTATAAACATGAGGCTCTGTCCCATCAGGAGTGATGTATTTTTCAGGGTCAAAGTCCTCAGGATCTGTTTGTATGTGACTGAAATAAGCAATGATCATAAGACTTAAGGGAGAAGGCCACTATATCATTATGTGCCCATAAACATAATCAATTATTTGAGAGGGAGGGGCAAAGCCCACAACATTTTTGTGTGTGGACATAAATTTTATGTAAAGATTAATTAATATTTAGCTGGTTTGTTCATTTTTGATTTTAGAGTAATTCTATATGTATCAATTCAGAAAAAATATTCAAGGATGAAAAATACTGAATCAAACCAACTGGCTTCCTTTAATGTTTAAAACAGACCATCAAACATTCAAAAAGCAGCTGCGCTACACATTTTAATAGCTTTTTAGATTAGTTTCTTCTGAAATCTTCTCTTAGGAACTTGGGCATATTTGGCAATTTGAAATTAACATGTATGCATGTAGATTGAAGGACGAGACTGAGATGCCTCTCATAATACTTACTCTGTTTTCCAATCATATGCAAGGTACCATAGCAACGTATGGACAATCTCCAAGCGTTTGTATATTGGCTCAAACCCATATATTCTCTTGAATTCCTAAAAATGGAGTGATTCCAACACATAACATAAGGATCTAATGAAAAAATAGAGATAATAGAGAAAATCGCAAAATTCATTCATTTATTAATCCTCTCTAAGATGAAACTGAAAAGTTTCACCAAAAGTTTCAAAAATACTGGCTATGACAACAATATACATGTTAGCTTTTATGCAAGAACATACATCCAAAATAAAGCTTGAAAGTACTAATACTCAAACTAACCCATGGCAGGGCCTGAGAAAAATAAAATGTTACATATAACTAGACATGTAAATTGAACAAGTTCAATTTAAGACTCCAGATTTAAAACTTTTTTTTAAGCTGAGTCATCCAAAATACTGTTAGCTGAGCCATTCAGAATAAGCTGAGACATCTAGAATACAGACATTTAGACAACTCTTAAGTAGGTTATCTTTGTCTACATTGGCTTAAGATGGGGATATCATAATATCGACTTTTCGAGACTTCAAACAGCTATAACTATCTAACCAGAATTTGGGTCGAAATTTGGTTTGCAGATTCGAATTTCTGAGAAAATTCTACGTTTGTGTCATAACTCATACATTAAATTTTGAGAACTTTTTATGTTGACCTACTTTCCGGACGCCATTCCTCAAAATCGGTAAGAGTAATCAAAAAAGACAGTTACAATAATGAAAGGACTGTCTTTAAGCTACATGATGAAAAAAAGATAAAGGAATAACGACGAATAGTGACAAAGATAATTGACATAACATGGGATATCAAAATACCAATTTTTTAATTTTTCAAAACGACATTACTTCCAAACCGGGTGTCGGATTGAAATTTGATTTGCAGATTCGGATTCCTGAGAAAATTCTACCCTTAATTCATAACTCATACGTTAAATTTGGAGAAACTTTCATGTTGACCTCCTTTTCGGACACTATATCTCAAAAGTGGGTCAAAATACTTTCTGACGGCAAAAGGCTAACACTATTAGCACACTCTTTGCTACTTGTATACAAAATTTTGAAGCAAATAATTAAAGTGTAGTGTCAGAATCGCAAAAATAAGTTAAAACTATAAATTTGACCTAGATTTTGACCTAGGCATTTTGGTGACCAAATTGTGAAGCTAGCTAGCTTTTGAGGTCCCTTTCTTTTATAGGCTTTCATTATGTGAAGCTGAACTCAGTGTTTATCTCGTATTTTACACTTCAAAAAAAATCTTTTTTCCCATTGACATAACATGGGGCACCAAATTTAGCGATTTTTGAGCTTTCAAAACGACATAAATTCCAAACCAAAAGTCGGATTGAAATTTGGTTTGCAGATTTGGATTCCTGAGAAAATTCTACCCTTAATTCATAACTCATATGTTAAATTTGGAGAACTTTTTAGTTTGACCTACTTTTCGGACACCATATCTCAAAAGTGGGTCAAAATACTTTCTGACGGCAAAAGGCTAACACTATTAGCACACTCTTGGCTACATGTATACAAATTTTCGAAGAATATAATTTATCTGTAGTGTCAGAATCGCAAAAATAAGGAAAAACTTTGAATTTGACCTAGATTTTGACCTAGGCATTTTGGTGTCCAAATTTTTATGAAAAGAAGGTCTTGTGGTCCCTTTCTTTTATGGGCTTCCATTATGTTTAGCTGTGCTTAGTCTAAATCTCGTATTTTACACTTCAAAAAAATATTTTTTCCCATTGAATTAACATGGGGCACCAAATTTAGCGATTTTTGAATTTTCAAAACGCCATAACTTCTGAACCGGAAGTCAGATCGAAATTTGGTTTTCAGATTCGGAATCCTGAGAAAATTTTCTATAAGACTGATATCCTGGCCATTTGATTCGAAGAACTTTTTTTTGGACCTCGTTTTCGGACACTGATATCTCGAAATCGGTTTGAGATACCAAAAAACTAAATCGACCCTAGGTTTTCTACTTTTTTATGAGGAACACAATGAAAAAAACCAGGATCAAAAATATTGAAGGACGACCGAGATAATGGGAAAAAGTGACAAAGTACTGGATTTGACCTAGTTCTTGACCTTTGACCTAGATAAAAATTTGACCTAATTTCCCAGAAAGCCGGATACAGTCTTAAGTTAACCATGTAAGTTGGATTAAGTAAGCTGTTATAGTTGACGAGAAATTTGGTAAGGAGGAAGAAAAAAGAATAATAATAACTAGACATGTAAATTGAACAAGTTCAATTTAAGACTCCAGATTTAATTCTTTTTTTAAGCTGAGTCATCCAGAATACTTGTAAGCTGAGTCATCCAGAATAAGCTGATCGAGTCAGCTAGAATTTAGACATTTAGACAACTCTCCATTTTTTTTATCTTCGACTCCATTGGCTTAACATGGGGATATCATCATATCGACTTTTCGAGACTTCAAACCGCTATAACTATCTAACCAGAAGTTAGATTGTATTTTGGTTTAAAGATTCGGACTCCTGAGAAAATTCTACCCTTAATTCATAACTCATACATTAAATTTGGAGATTTTTTTATTTTGACCTACTTTTTGGACACCATATCTCAAAAGTGGGTCAAAATACTTTCTGACGGCAAAAGGCTATCACTATAAGCACACTCTTTGCTACCTGTATACAAAATTTCGAAGCAAATCATTAAAGTGTAATGTCAGAATCGCAAAAATAAGGAAAATTATGAATTTGCCGGATTTTGACCTTGGCATTTTGGTGTCCAAATTTTAAAGCTAGATAGCCTTCGAGGTCCCCTTCTTTTAAAGGCTTTCAGAATGTTAAGCTGTACTCAGTCTATATCTGGTATTTTAGACTTCAAAAAAATCTTTTTCCCTATTGACATAACATGGGGCACCAAATTTAGCAATTTTTGAGCTTTCAAACGCTATAACTTTCAAACAGAAAGTCGGATCGAAATTTGGTTTGCAGATTCAGATTCCTCAGAAAATTCTATCCTTATTTCATAACTCATATGCTAAATTCGGAGAACTTTTATTTTGACCTACTTTTCGGACACCATATCTCAAAAGTGGGTCAAAATACTCTCTGACGGCAAAAGGCTAACATTATTAGCACACTCTTTGCTACCTGTATACAAAATTTTGAAGCAAATCCAAAAAGTGTAGTGCCAGAATCGCAAAAATAAGGAAAAACTATGAATTTGACCTAGATTTTGACCTAGGCATTTTGGTGTCCAAATATTGAAACTAGGTAGCTTTTGAGGTCCCCTTCTTTTATAGGAATTCATTATCTTAAGCTGTACTCAATCTATATCTCGTATTTTACACTTCAAAAAAATCTTTTTTCCTTGACTTTCTATCAGGATAACATCAGATCGATTTTTCTCGAAATTTCAAAACGCCATAACTTTCAAACCGGAAGTCGGATCGAAATTTGATTTAAAGATTCGGATTCCTGACAAAATTCTACCCCTTATTCATAACTCATACGTTAAATATGGCAAATTTTTATTTTGACCTACTTTTCGGACACGCCATAACTTTGGAACTGGAAGTCGGATCGAAATTTGGTTTGCAGATTCGGATTCCTGAGAAAATTCTACTCTTAATTCATAACTCATATGTAAAATTTGGAGAATTTTTTATTTTGACCTACTTTTCGGACACCATATCTCAAAAGTGGGTCAAAATACTCTCTGACGGCAAAAGGCTAACACTATAAGCTCACTCTTTGCTACCTGTATACAAAATTTCGAAGCAAATCCTAAAAGTGAAGTGCCAGAATCGCAAAAATAAGGAAAAACTATGTATTTGACCTAGATTTTGACCTAGGGATTTTGGTGTCCAAATTTTAAAGCTAGATAGCCTTCGAGGTCCCCTTCTTTTATAGACTTTCAGAATCTTAAGCTGTACTCAGTCTTTATCTGGTATTTTACACTTCAAAAAAATCTTTTTTCTCATTGACATAACATGGGGCACCAAAATTAGCGATTTTTGAGCTTTCAAAACGCCATAACTTCCCAACGAAAAGTCGGATTGAAATTTAGTTTGCAGATTCGGATTCCTGAGAAAATTCTACCCTTAATTCATAACTCATAAGTTAAATTATGAGAAATTTTTATTTTGACCTACTTTACGGACACCATATCTCAAAAGTGGGTCAAAATACTTTCTGACGGCAAAAGGCTCTCACTATTAGCACACTCTTTGCTACCTGTATACAAAATTTTGAAGCAAATCCTAAAAGTGTAGTGCCAGAATCGCAAAAATAAGGAAAAACTATGAATTTGACCTAGATTTTGACCTAGGCATTCTGGTGTCCAAATTTCGAAGCTATGTAGCTTTTGAGGTCCCCTTCTTTTATAGGCATTCAATATGTTAAGCTGAACTCAGTCAATATCTTGTATTTTACACTTCGAAAAAGCCTTTTTTCCCATTGACTTAACATGGGCACCAAATTTAGCGATTTTTGAGATTTCAAAACGCTATAACTTCCGAACCGGAAGTCGGATCAAAATTTTGTTTGCAGATTCGGATTCCTGAGATAATTCTACACTTATTTGATAATTCACACGTTGAATTTGGAGAATTTTTTATGTTCTGACCTACTTTTCGGACGCCATATCTCAAAATCGGTAAGAGTAATCAAAAAACGGTTTGCCTTACGGAATTAGCTTTTTTTCTAAGGAACATGATGAAAAAAACCCGGAGCGAAAATACCAAAGGACGACTGAGAAAACTTGTGAAATAGCAAAAAGAGACGATTTGACCTAGTTCTTGACCTTTGACCTAGATAAACATTTGACCTAATTTCCCAGAAACTAGAACTCATTACCTAGTTGACTATGTTAGCAGATTTTAAGAAGTCCCTCTAGTTGCTGAGAAAACGCGGAAAGAAAGAAAAATAATAATAATAATAATAACTAGACATGTAAATTGAACAAGTTCAATTTAAGACTCCAGATTTAATTCTTTTTTTAAGCTGAGTCATCCAGAATACTTGTAAGCTGAGTCATCCAGAATAAGCTGATCGAGTCAGCTAGAATTTAGACATTTAGACAACTCTCCATTTTTTATCTTCGACTCCATTGGCTTAACATGGGGATATCATCATATCGACTTTTGGAGACTTCAAACCGCTATAACTATCTAACCAGGAGTTAGATTGTATTTTGGTTTACAGATTCGGACTCCTGAGAAAATTCTACCCTTAATTCATAACTCATACATTAAATTTGGAGATTTTTTTATTTTGACCTACTTTTTGGACACCATATCTCAAAAGTGGGTCAAAATACTTTCTGACGGCAAAAGGCTATCACTATAAGCACACTCTTTGCTACCTGTATACAAAATTTCGAAGCAAATCATTAAAGTGTAATGTCAGAATCGCAAAAATAAGGAAAATTATGAATTTGCCCTAGATTTTGACCTTGGCATTTTGGTGTCCAAATTTTAAAGCTAGATAGCCTTCGAGGTCCCCTTCTTTTAAAGGCTTTCAGAATGTTAAGCTGTACTCAGTCTATATCTGGTATTTTAGACTTCAAAAAAATCTTTTTCCCTATTGACATAACATGGGGCACCAAATTTAGCAATTTTTGAGCTTTCAAACGCTATAACTTTCAAACAGAAAGTCGGATCGAAATTTGGTTTGCAGATTCAGATTCCTCAGAAAATTCTATCCTTATTTCATAACTCATATGCTAAATTCGGAGAACTTTTATTTTGACCTACTTTTCGGACACCATATCTCAAAAGTGGGTCAAAATACTCTCTGACGGCAAAAGGCTAACACTATTAGCACACTCTTTGCTACCTGTATACAAAATTTTGAAGCAAATCCTAAAAGTGTAGTGCCAGAATCGCAAAAATAAGGAAAAACTATGAATTTGACCTAGATTTTGACCTAGGCATTTTGGTGTCCAAATATTGAAACTAGGTAGCTTTTGAGGTCCCCTTCTTTTATAGGAATTCATTATCTTAAGCTGTACTCAATCTATATCTCGTATTTTACACTTCAAAAAAATCTTTTTTCCTTGACTTTCTATCAGGATAACATCAGATCGATTTTTCTCGAAATTTCAAAACGCCATAACTTTCAAACCGGAAGTCGGATCGAAATTTGATATAAAGATTCGGATTCCTGACAAAATTCTACCCCTTATTCATAACTCATACGTTAAATTTGGCGAATTTTTATTTTGACCTACTTTTAGGACACGCCATAACTTTGGAACTGGAAGTCGGATCGAAATTTGGTTTGCAGATTCGGATTCCTGAGGAAATTCTACTCTTAATTCATAACTCATATGTAAAATTTGGAGAATTTTTTATTTTGACCTACTTTTCGGACACCATATCTCAAAATTGGGTCAAAATACTCTCTGACGGCAAAAGGCTAACACTATAAGCTCACTCTTTGCTACCTGTATACAAAATTTCGAAGCAAATCCTAAAAGTGTAGTGCCAGAATCGCAAAAATAAGGAAAAACTATGTATTTGACCTAGATTTTGACCTAGGGATTTTGGTGTCCAAATTTTAAAGCTAGATAGGTTTCGAGGTCCCCTTCTTTTATAGACTTTCAGAATCTTAAGCTGTACTCAGTCTTTATCTGGTATTTTACACTTCAAAAAAATCTTTTTTCTCATTGACATAACATGGGGCACCAAAATTAGCGATTTTTGAGCTTTCAAAACGCCATAACTTCCCAACGAAAAGTCGGATTGAAATTTGGTTTGCAGATTCGGATTCCTGAGAAAATTCTTCCCTTAATTCATAACTCATAAGTTAAATTATGAGAAATTTTTATTTTGACCTACTTTACGGACACCATATCTCAAAAGTGGGTCAAAATACTTTCTGACGGCAAAAGGCTCTCACTATTAGCACACTCTTTGCTACCTGTATACAAAATTTTGAAGCAAATCCTAAAAGTGTAGTGCCAGAATCGCAAAAATAAGGAAAAACTATGAATTTGACCTAGATTTTGACCTAGGCATTCTGGTGTCCAAATTTCGAAGCTATGTAGCTTTTGAGGTCCCCTTCTTTTATAGGCATTCAATATGTTAAGCTGAACTCAGTCTATATCTTGTATTTTACACTTCGAAAAAGCCTTTTTTCCCATTGACTTAACATGGGCACCAAATTTAGCGATTTTTGAGATTTCAAAACGCTATAACTTCCGAACCGGAAGTCGAATCAAAATTTTGTTTGCAGATTCAGATTCCTGAGATAATTCTACACTTATTTGATAATTCACACGTTGAATTTGGAGAATTTTTTATGTTCTGACCTACTTTTCGGACGCCATATCTCAAAATCGGTAAGAGTAATCAAAAAACGGTTTGCCTTACGGAATTAGCTTTTTTTCTAAGGAACATGATGAAAAAAACCCGGAGCGAAAATACCAAAGGACGACTGAGAAAACTTGTGAAATAGCAAAAAGAGACGATTTGACCTAGTTCTTGACCTTTGACCTAGATAAACATTTGACCTAATTTCCCAGAAACTAGAACTCATTACCTAGTTGACTATGTTAGCAGATTTTAAGAAGTCCCTCTAGTTGCTGAGAAAACGCGGAAAGAAAGAAAAATAATAATAATAATAAGAAAACTGGCAAAAGCAATAGACTCCAGATGAAATCTGGAGTCTAATAAGAAAACAGGCAAAAACAATAGACTCCAGATTTTCAATCTGGAGTCTAATTACACACTAACTGATCAAACTTTACGGATAACATACTTACAGCATTGTATGTTATAGATTTCTTCACCTCTTCCAGGCTCTTGTTTTTCAAATGTTTCTGGTGCATTTTTAGTCTCCAGTGACTCATGGGGGTCTGCAAAAGAAAGGGTATATGTGGGCATCAACATGGCAAAATATCGCCATTGTATTTTGTATAATATGAGGTTATATAATGGTTGATTCCGTATATCGTGTTTATACTCAAGTGAGTATATGATATATTCACGAGTGAATGAAGGGAACAAGTGAATATATCATATACTCACGAGAGTATAACGATATACAGAATCAACCATTATATGATCTTATTATCCACCTTAATCTTTAATCAATAAAAGGTTAATCTAAATCCAGCAGTTGTATATCAAGTCGAAGAGTTGTATACGCTGCCCAGGAGTTGTATACGCTATCCAGGAGTTGTATATCGTTCTCAAGAGTTGTATACGATGAGTGTTGGTTTTATATTGCAGTTATACAATGCTATTATACAATCGTATAAAGCACTTAGGGTGGGATAATACTTGTACATTGGATGAACAGAAATGTAATTGTATTCTTAACACTCACTGTCCCTTTTTGAAAAATATGTACATGTCAGATGTACTGTAAAATTATGTTATATTTGGTTTTGTCCAAATAAAATATATATATATATGTGGACCTTATTTACAAAAGGTGGAGTGGAGTATAGTACCAAGTTTGGTCAATAGAGGGAACATTAATCTGTCCCCGGGAGGATTTTCCCCGGGAATGTTACTATAGATGAGTAGTTTAATCAACAAACGGCATCCTTTTCAATCCCATCATGCATATCTTTCTTCAAATATGTACGTTTTCTGATTGGTGAATTTCTACTTGGGAAAGCACCTAATTAGTTTTGACATACAGCTCAATTCATTATCAAAGAAATTGTGATCGAGCTAATTTGTGCGTCCCGCGGTTAGCTAACAGCAATCAAAATTATATGTACACCCCAGCAATAGTTTGGCGATTGATAAATGAGAAATACGTTTTTATATATGAAGTGACTATAGGTAACACGAAACTACATCATATCCCATTGTCTTTGTGTACAGACATATAAAACAGTTTTATATGTCTTTATTGTAACCTCAGGATTGTATGTTACATTTGTAAAGTGAAAATCAAAATACAATCATTCAATTTGTCACTAGCGGTAATTTAGAAGATGTACAATGTACTATGATTGGTATCAAACCCAGGGGCTCCAAGGGGGAAAAATGAAACATTTATTCAAAGTTGATGAGGTCCCCGAAGAGGTCTCGCAAAAGCAATGTAATATTTGACATTTATCATTTAGAAATAACATAGTGTTACTACTTGGTGTTACTACAGCTGTACCATCGATTCTGCGAATAAGGTACGAATGAAATTGTGGTCCAATTGTTTTAAGGGATCGAGTCCCTCTGAGCAATGTTACACTCCCGGGGTTACAATTCACATTCAAATTTCAACATTTGCAAAAGCAAAAGGGGAACGCCGCATTTGCAAAAGTACTGATATTATCATTTTTCTCATGCTTCGGACAAGAATATAGTCTGGTTCCAGTGAAGATAACCCACTGACGCGGGCGGTCCTGATAAAATCAAGAGGGGCAAACCGATGAAAGACAGACAATTACAAATGAACGGGTATTTTGAAAAAAGTACTGGCGAATGGACACCTTTTCTATAATTTATTTTAACATTTGTTTTTAAAAGGATACATTATTTTCCAATATCATACATCCCTCTATATGTTTGGCAGCCTCAACTCCAAAACGGGTTCCTTTATTTTCTGCACCTACGAACTGTCCCAATATTTTCGAAGAAGATACCAATTTTGTGTTCAATAAAGTTAAATTCAATTTTCTATTTATTAGACTCCAGATGTCAATCTGGAGTCTATTGTTTTTGCCAGTATTCTTCTTCTTTATTATTAGACTCCAGATTGAAAATCTGGAGTCTATTGTTTTTGCCAGTATTCTTATTCTTATTCTTATTATTATTATTCTTCTTCGGGAGTTTTTTCAGTAACTATGGGGTATCCAGTAAAGACCATAATACAGTTTATTTAGGTTCAGTATCTAGTTGGTGGGAAATTGGGTCAAATTTTTATCTAGGTCAAAGGTCAGGAACTGGGTCAAATCCAGTACTTTGTCACTTTTTTCGATTTTCTCAGTCGTCCTTCAATATTTTCGATCCGGGTTTTTTTCATTGTGTTCCTTATACAAAAGTAGAAAACCTGAGTCGATTTAGTTTTTTGATATCTCAAACCGATTTCGAGATATCAGTGTCCGAAAACGAGGTCCAAAAAAAAGTTCTCCGAATCAAATGTCCAGGATACTAGTCTTATAGGAAATTTTCTCAGGATTCCGAATCTGAAAACAAAATTTAGATCAGACTTCCGGTTCTGAAGTTATGGCGTTTTGAAAACTCAAAAATCGCTAAATTTTGAGCCCATGTTAAGTCAATGGGAAAAAAGATTTTTTTGAAGTGAAAAATACGAAATATAGACTAAGTTCAGCTAAATATAATGAAAGCTTTTTAAAGAATGGGACCTCAAAAGCCATCTAGCTTTAAAATTTGGACACCAAAATGCCTAGGTCAAAATCTAGGTCAAATTCAAAGTTTTTTCTTATTTTTGCGATTCTGACACTACACTTTAATTATATTCTTCGAAATTGTGTATACATGTAGCCAAGAGTGTGCTAATAGCGTTAGCCTTTTGCCGTCAGAAAGTATTTTGACCCACTTTTGAGATATGGTGTCCGAAAAGTAGGTCAAAATAAAAAGTTCTCCAAATTTAACGTTTGAGTTATGAATTAAAATAGAATTTTCTCAAAAATCCGAATCTGCAAATCAAATTTCGATCCGACTTCCGGTTCCGAAGTTATGGCGTGTCCAAAAAGTAGGTCAAAATAAAAATTCGCCAAATTTAATGTATGAGTTATGAATTAGGGGTAGAATTTTGTCAGGAATCCGAATCTTTAAATCAAATTTAGATCCGACTTCCGGTTCGGAAGTTATGGCGTTTTGAAATTTCGGAAAATCGATCTGATGGTATCCTGATAGAAAGTCAAGAGTAGAGAAGAAAATATTGAAAAATTCATCCATCCTTCCTATCTGATCCTATCCTATCCTATCTTTCCTTCATATCCTTTCCTTCCTATCCTCTCCTATCATATCCTTTCTTCCTATTCTGTTCTATCCTATCCTTCTTTCTTATTCTATCCTATCGTTCCTTCCCATTCTATCCTATCCTACCTTCCTATTTTATCCATCCATCTTATTCTGGATGACTCAGCTTATTCTGGATGACTCAGCTTATTTTAGATGACTGGGCTTAAAAAAGTCTGGATCTGGAGTCTGAAATTGAACTTCGTTCAATTTCCCAAGTCTAGTTATTATTATTATTATTCTTCCAACGTTTTCTCCTTAACTAGAAGACATTGAGTCAAGACCTGTATATGGTTAATTCAGGTCCAGTATCTAGTTTCTCGGAAATTAGGTCAAATTTTTATCTAGGTCAAAGGTCAGGAACTGGGTCAAATCCAGTACTTTGTCACTTTTTTCAATTTTCTCAGTCGTCCTTCAGTATTTTCGATCCGGGTTTTTTTCATTGTGTTCCTCATAAAAAAGTAGGAAAGCTAGGGTCGATTTAGTTTTTTGATATCTCGAACCGATTTCGAGATATCAGTGTCCGAAAACGAGGTCCGAAAAAAAGTTCTCCGAATCCGATGTCCAGGATAATAGTCTTATAGGAAATTTTCTCAGGATTCCGAATCTGAAAACCGATTTGATATCCGACTTCCGGTTCAGGAGTTATGACGTTTTGAAAGTTCGAGGAAAATCGATCTGATGGTACCCTCATAGAATGTCAAGAAAAGTGAAATAAAATTGAAAAAATACCAGTCCAGTCCATTTCCAGGTCCAAGTCAAGGTCAAGTCCAGGTCCAAGTCCAGTTTTGTCCAAGTCAAGTCTAGGTCCAAATCCAGTCCAGGACCTAGATCAAAATTTAGGTCTATCCTATCCTTTCTATCTAGATGATCTTATTCTGGATGATTCTCCCTTCCTATCTATCCTTCCTTCCTATCCTTCCTTCCTATTCTATCCTATTCTTCCTTCTCATTCAATCCAAATCCAGGTACATGTCTAGGTCCAAGTCAAGTCTAGGTCTAAATCCAGTCCAGGGCCTAGGTCAAAATCTAGGTCAAATTCAAAGTTTTTCCCTATTTTTGCGATTCTGACACTACACTTTAATTATATTGTTCGAAATTTTGTATACTTGTAGCCACGAGTGTGCTCATAGTGTTAGCCTTTTGCCGTCAGAAAGTATTTTGACCCACTTTTGAGATATGGTGTCCGAAAAGTAGGTCAAAATAAAAAGTTCTCCAAATTTAAAGTATGAGTTATGATTTAAGAGTAAAATTTTATAAGGAATCCGAATCTGCAAACCAAATTTAGATCTGACTTCCGGTTAGGAAATTATGTCGTTTCCAAAAAGTAGGTCAAAATAAAAATTCGCCAAATTTAATGTATGAGTTATGAATTAGGGGTAGAATTTTGTCAGGAATCCGAATCTTTAAATCAAATTTAGATCCGACTTCCAGTTCGGAAGTTATGGCGTTTTGAAATTTCGGAAAATCGATCTGATGGTATCCTGATAGAAAGTCAAGAGTAGAGAAGAAAATATTGAAAAATTCATCCATCCTTCCTATCTGATCCTATCCTATCTTTCCTTCGTATCCTTTCCTTCCTATCCTTCCTATCCTCTCCTATCATATCCTTTCTTCCTATTCTGTTCTATCCTATCCTTTTTTCTTATTCTATCCTATCGTTCCTTCCCATTCTATCCTATCCTACCTTCCTGTTTTATCCATCCATCTTATTCTGGATGACTCAGCTTATTCTGGATGACTCGGCTTATTTTAGATGACTTGGCTTAAAAAAGTCTGGATCTGGAGTCTGAAATTGAACTTCGTTCAATTTCCCAAGTCTAGTTAACTTATATTTTTGTTAGAACTTCGGATGGATGCATATTCTGTACTTTACATGATTTGTTGCAATTTCCTACTTATTGTAAATGGCAAA